CTCACTCAGTTCATTCTGAAAACCACTGCACTCACTCAGTTCATCCCTACAGAGTAAAGGCACCTGTTAAACCCAAAGGCAAAACCAACCCATTATATGAGAAGAGTTCTTTCCTTTGACTCAGTTCACTGAGCTATAAAGTGTCAAGACAATGTCTTCTACCATTGATGCAAGTGAGTGGCGTGAGTGAGGAGTCAGAATGGAGGAACAGAAAAAGCGTTTAAGGGAGATAAGACAAATTCCATTACTAATGAGTTGCCACAAACAAAAACGTGAAACATTACCACATCGAAACCCCCGAAGAGGCCTGCTTGTTTGTTTTTGAGACAGGGTCTCTCTCTAGTCCTTGGTGGCCTAGAACTCACTATGTAGACCAGGCTGGCCTCAAATTTATAGCAATCCACCTGCCTCTGCCTCTGCCTCCACAGTACTGGGATTAAAGGTCATATCTGGCCCAAAAGATGTTTTTAAATCAACTGCACATAATTCAACTGTTTAATTAACTGTTTATTAATTAGTAAGTACCTTAGAGTATCAGTTTGAGAAAATATCGGAGGAACACTTTTAATATAATTACAAAAGATAAAACTAAAAAGTTCCACTTCTCTGTCTAAAACACAAACATTTCTGAAATGGAAACATATTTCACAATGAACAAAATGCATGCTATCCTTTTAAAAGCTATTGATAAAACATTTTCATAGTTAACAGTGTCTTAGAAACAAGGGCATGCAGTATTCTTATAAAGGTCAGAAAGTTGGACCATAATAGTTTATGTGTGTGAGAAAAAAATTTCCCAGGATTTTAAAATACAAACTGGTTCAAGTCATCCTGAAGACTGTTCAAATGTACCAGGAAGCCTACAGTCAATTTCAGTTCAAGCAACTGGTGCTCTTCCTACAGCGCACCCTGTTTAGACCTTAGAGTGCATTTCCAAAGACCAAATCTACAATACTCCAAGCACACTTTTACTAAACATGCTTCAGGGACCCCTTCAGACTGAGTGCCAGTGATCACAAAATCAGTCGGGCCCCTTTCCATCCCAGCCTGGCTGCAGGCGCACGGAGCAGCCAGTGGAGGGAGCTGGGTCCTGATCTCACCTGTGGAGTTGAACAGGCTTTGTGGCTTTGCCGAGTCCCCCAGCATGGAAAATGCAGACCCTGCCAGACCCTGAGAATATTCTCTCTTCAGAGAATCTGACTCACTCAAGTTACCGGAGGCCTTCTTAAAAAACCCAAACAATACTTACAGAACTGCCCTATATAGCCAGAGAGCACCAGACGCTTCTCCTCTCCCCCTTTCTGGCCCCCCTCCAACACTCACCCCCAGAGCCTGCTTATCCGCCAGAACTGCTGAGGCTGGCCAGTGTTCAGTCCACTGCGCGTTCTAGGACTTTACACAGCTTAGACCAAGTCAATTTCCTGAACGAGCTGCTGAGTTTTTAAGGAAGCTACAGAGCAACACACTTCCAGTGACACAGCTGTGTAGCCAGATCCTCAGGACAAAGCACGCATTCACAGCTGCGCTGAAAGAAATCATTCAACGGGACGTTCGCATCCATGACCAAAACGCCACTTGCTGCGAGTGGCCCCGAGTTTCCTCAACTTTCTAACTTTCACATACAGGAAATACAGTTAGAAGGTAGAGAAAGTATTGGTTTGTAAATTAAAGACAGTTCAATATCTTCATTTTAAAATCTTATATGAACAAAATATAATTTTCAATAGAACATTTATGTACAAAACATTTTACGGGACACATGCACTACAAGAAATATGAATTAGAAGTCTGACCCCTCACTCAGTACTTATCCCTTTCTTTTTCACAGCTAATCACTTCCATTCTGAATCAACTGCAGGTAAATCTTTTTTTTCATAAACTACAAACTCACTAGTAAAGGGAGTTAGTATTTAACTTTTTTCTTTCCTTATTTTTAGGGCTTCCTTGGGGTAAGAGTTTATTTCTGATTGTACTGATAAAAGTGACATCCAATGTCAAGGGAGGTAAGAGCAACTCTTCTAAACTATTGAAGCATAAGACAGAATCAACCCAACAGATTAGGCCAATTACAATCCATGGCTTCATGAATTCAGTTCCCAGACCTTTACATCAAAGTTTCTTCATCTCTAACAGTGAGTATCCTTTCCCAAGGGGGTTTTACAAAATTCAAAGTTATGAAAACTGACACATTAGGTCATGAACTTTCAAGTAATTGTACTTCACCTCGGACTTGCTTCTGTCTAATGGACAATTCATGGTAACAGAATGAGAAAAGCCTTTTGTAAAATTACCAAACGTAGCTATGTCCTGACCTCAAGGCAATTTTCAATCCCAATTTTGAGAAAGAAAAAAAAAATGGGTTTTCACCCACTCGCCTTCCTTGTGATAAGTTCCGCTGCCCTGGAATATTGCTAGCACTTTTTTTAAATCGCTGTGACAACTTCCCTCCACCAGGCCACCATATACCATGTGGAAGAAATAGGCTTCTATGTTATAGACAAGATCATGAAGGATTCAGTTTTTCAGCATTTACATATAACCAAAGCACAGGATTTTCCATGCCATTCCCGCAATCACACCAATAATTAACACATCAACAACAAAATAACCATGAAATGGGAGAGGCTGGTGGAGGTGGCGGAGGAACTCTGAAGATACCTCACATACTAACTGTATCTGCATTGGCTATTTCAACAGAAATAATTTTCACTGTTACATCAGAAGCCACACAAGGTGAGTAAAATCTCCAGAACTCTCCCATGAACTCGGATGTACTTTTTTAAGAGTTTTATCACCACAGTGTCTGTTAGTAAATTAATGCCATGATAAAAGCAAGAATTCAGAAGACCAACTGAACTACAGAGGGTATGGTTCTCAATGGATGGATCCAACTGCTTAAGTGGGCTGGAGTGTGGCTGGGGCAGTGATGATCGCCCAGCATGGGTAAGGCCCTGGGCTGGAGTGTGGCTGGGGCAGTGATGATCGCCCAGCATGG